GAATGACAGGGTGGGAGGGAGGGGGGAAGAAGGAAGGAAAGAGATTGAAATTCAGTAAGTGTTCAACATAGAACCAATCAGCCTTAAAATAAAGCTCATTTGGGAAAGGAAGGAAAGAAGGAAGGAAGGAAGGAAGGAAGGAAGGAAGGAAGGAAGGAAGGAAGGAAGGAAGGAAAAGCAGGGAGGGAGGGAGGGATCCTCATCTTTATTTACATCCTTAACCTGGACACCCATCCTGAAGTACATGGGTGATTACCCCTCCAAACGGACCCGCTCAGTGAATGAGCTGACAGATCAAATCTTCGAAGGGGCCTTGAAGGCGGAAGCCCTCCGAGACGAGATTTACTCGCAGGTCCTGAAGCAACTGACGGACAACCACGTGAAGTAAGTGGCTTTGCCTTCTCTCTCTGGTCCGCCTCGTTCTGATTGCGCCAAATCTTTTCCTCCGAGGAGCAGAACCGCCGTAGGCAAACCACGGGGGGGGGGGGATGCGACAACGGCTGTGAGTGCAAAAAAAACACAGTTGTAGGTTGCTTTTTTCCAGTGACTTCGGACAGTCACTAAACGAACTCCTGCACGTCGCTAACTGCAGATCGTGCGATCACTCGGAGCCTAGCTTGCTTTGAAGGAATCTCTTTATCTCTTTTCCTGGAATATTATCGTGTGCTTTATGTTCTTTGCGGGAAAGGTACAGCGAGGAGAAAGGCTGGGAGCTGCTCTGGCTGTGCACGGGTCTCTTTGCGCCGAGTAACGTCCTGCTCCTTCACGTCCAGAGATTCGTCCAGTCTCGGAAGCATCACCCGCTCGCCAACGACTGCCTTCAGAGGCTGCAGAAAGCGCTGAGGTTTGTGCCCCGTCTCTGAAAACCTTCCATCTTTGGGGAATGACGAATTGAGACAAGCCGCTCTCCGGCTGAGAGTAGGAGAATCAATCCACTGAGTACAGAAGTAGTTACAGCAGAAGTTGTATTCAGCCAGTTCGTAGCGGTTACGGAAATGGCGCGAGGGCCCATCCACCCGCCCCCAGCTCTATGCCGTCCTATTTAGACACGTGTTTTGAGGCCAGGCACATACATGGACGGTGCACTCATGAGCACAGCACATGCGTGGAAGGCCGGGCGCGTGTATGGAAGTGGCGCACGCGTGGGGGTGTGTGAACCGGTGGTAACAAAATGTGAAGCGCACCGCTGAGTGAAAGACGGTTCGGGTTTCAGGTCAAAGAGGCTGGGCTAGGCACTGGGTGATGGTGAGTTCTAGTCCAGTGGTGGGATTCAGCCGGTTCGCACCTATCCGGGAGAACCGGTTGGTAACTTTCTAAGTAGTTCAGAGAACCGATTGTTGGAAGAAATCTTCTTTTTTCCCCCCACTTTACAGGGCTAATCCTGTAAGGAAGGCAGGAAGGAAACATTCTGGTGTTGTTTCAAGCCT